CTTTGAAAGTTTAGCTGATTTTCAGTGCATATATGTGAATGTAGAAGAACAAATGATCCTATTTTGAAATATGTTGAAATAAATTTCCAGATGTAGCCCATTACTCCTTTTCAGTGAGATTGTCATGTTGTCTTGCCATAGTTCAAGACAAGCAATACTGTTAGAGCCTTAAGACAGACAGACAGACACACACACACACACACACATCATCATCATCATCATTATCATCATCATCATGAATTAATTCTTTGAGAACTTGAATTAATAGGTGCTGTGCAGTTAAACAAATTATAAAAGATTTTGTGAAATTTTGTATGCTGTTATGTAGTTTTGGTCTTTTAAAGCTTTAATGTTATCACCCCATGAACTGCTTTGTGATGCTAGGGTTAAGACTCCGGAAGTCACACATACTTGTCAGGTGATTCCCAGATAGACCCTGCCTGGTGGAGGACACGATATTCTAGGTTGTGGCATGAATAATAAAAACCCAGTGACAGATATCGGGGTTCAACCTGAAGATCAGAAAAACAAAGCAGCCAAGCTACTGGAGAGCTCTTACCTTTATGAAATCCTCAGACTGTAAGAGAGCAATTTCCTGTCTCATCTTGTTTTATATTCTTATCTAGTGCTGGGATTAAAAGTGTACACCACCACCACCCAGTCTTTATGACTAACTTAGTTTGGCTGCTGGGATTAAAGTTGTGTGCCACCACTGTATGGTCTGTATGGCTGACAAGTCTGGCTGCTTGTCACTGATCTTCAGGAAAGCTTTATTTATTAAAACACAAATAAAATACCACTATAGAAGGCAAGTTTGGAGAGTTAGGAAGACTGAAGTATTCACCTCATTCCTTCTGTTTGCTTCCTGTTTTTGCATGTGTCACAGAAGCAATAGCTAGACACCAATGCAAAAGTGACTCTCAGTGTCAGAAGCAGCAACTGATTCCCCTAATTTTGGCTTTTAACGGGAGGAGTGGGCTGCTTGTCATCCTGACCACCTGGCTTGCTTATACCCGAAATAATCACACAGAAACTGTATTCATTTAAACACTGCCTGGCCCATTAGCTCTAACATCTTATTGGCTAATTCTTACTTCTTAGTTTAGTTCATTTCTATTGATCTGTGTATCGCCACATGACTGTGGCTTACCGGCAAAATTCTAACCAGCTTCCATCTCATGCAGGAGATCCATGAAGTCAGCCACTCCGCCCTTCTTCCCAGTTCTGTCTACACTGCCTACCTAAGTTCTGTCCTATCAGCTAGGCCAAGGCAGTTTCTTTATTCATTATCCAATGAAAGCAACAAACAAACAGAAGGAACTCCATCATTGTCTGTTGTTTCTGGTTGCTGCACCTAAAGGACCACAACCAGACTGAGTTTCAGACTCACAAACCCATGCCCAGTTCCAGTGGCTTGTCCTGCAACCAGTTAGGGTATTAATATAGCCAACAGGATCCACTTTGCAAAGACTTAAACCCCAGTCCTTTGTCCTGGTTCTAAAACTCCTGCTTCCCTGAGTTCATGGTGGTAGCTGCAGTTTAAAACTCTCACCTCTGGCACACCTCATGTAGCGCTTCAGCAATTGGTGCACAGCTAGAACATTTTATATTATGTATATTCATATATTCTGTGTGCGTTTGCTTTCCTGAGAGATTTTTAGCAGATATACCATGGTTAGTTTCCCCAAAGAATGAATGACATTCATGATCCTAGATGGTCGTCTTCCACAGGAACATGGTTTAAGGGAACTTCTCATTAACTTTATTTTAATCATAAATAAAAGCTGCTATTTTGGAGTCTCAGAATACTTATGTCATTTTTAATATTTTGAAATCAGTTTTTAGGTTTTATACATGTTTCTAACAATGAATCTTTGAATGTATGATCTCATTTTCTCAAATCTTAAGGTGGTACCCAAAATTTCAGAGACACAAAGGGTGCTGATCAACTGGAAAATAAACAATCAGATCCTTAGTTGCAAGAGTGCCATTGATGTATATATGTTAACAAAAATATTACATTCAAACCTTCAGTTTGTGCCTTTAACCATATATGTTAGGATTTTAACTGGAAGTACATAGACTAAAACACTTGTTCAGAGGAATTTTTAAAAATCTTAAAATTCCTTTGTAGACAGAATAGACCTTTAATCTTTAAACAATCCTTTAATAAATGTACTTTTCAATAAGTGTACTTTCTCAATAAATATAGTTTCCAGTTCTTTTTATTTTGGAATACGTTATCAATGAATCTGCTATGCACATCATGAAACAGTCATTTTATAAAAGTTCTCATTTCTTCTGGGTACCTCTACGTGAATTTCTAGGTTGCTAAGAAATTGTAGCTTTATCTTAGTAAGGACTGCACAGAGAAGGAGACAGGGGTCTGTCACTAAACTGAGGCTGAGGGAAGGACATTAACTGGATGCCACTGTATGTTCCTTCAGGTCCTTTCTAGAGCTTTGAATCTTCTTGTAGCTTTCACATGATGAAGAACTAACTTATTAGTTTGGGTAAAATAAGTTGAGGCAATTCTCTTTACATTTCAAGAAAGAAAACTATAATGTCAATGATTTTGGTTAGCTCTATTGACTGCTTGATCATAAAAATTAACTAGTATCTATCACATTTCTTAGATCAAAGGGAATCTTCATTTTGTTATTGTGTATGAATTCTGTAGCTTTTGACACTTGACCCAAAAGAACATCAAGAAGGTATAGAATGCATTTTGCATATATATTTATCAGTATTCATGCACTCATAGAATAAATTAAAATTTTACTTAAGGATATTATATAAAATGTGGAAATTACAAATTTAAGGGAAACTAGTGTATCATCTGGAATGATAGTGTCCGTCTGATGTTCAGTACTTGCCTGGGTCACTTCACATTGTCTGGTGCATAAAGAAATATACGAAACTCTTCTATCTTCTGTGTGCTCTGAGATGGCATGGCAAATTTTTTTCCAGATCAATAGAGAGAGAATGCAAATCTCAAAAGTAAAGTTTTATTTTCTGCCTGGATTTAAGGGTAACAAATGAAAGCTTTCTTTACTCCAAATACTACCTAAAGATATCAAATGCAGTTAGGACGCTAGCCAGTAGGGGGCGTCGAAATAAAACACAGATAATTTATTAAAGTGTGTGTGTGTGTGTGTGTTACAGCTATGACATATAGCAGGAATTATACATTACAACTATGTCACATCACAGGAGTCATACAATACTCCTATGTCATATAGCTGGGGTTGTTATATTTTACAACTATGTCATAAAGCATCACTTATATATTACAAGACTACATCACACATCAGCAATATATATCCCAACTAAAATAAGAATGTCATATAGCAGCAGTTATATAATGTAACTAAAATAAAAATGTCTTTTTTTCTGTTTAAGAATTTGTTGCTGGTATCTAGGTTCCCTTTTGATCATTTTGTTCCAAGGATCCTGAGGACAGGGTACTATACAAGAAACAGAAATTTGTTTCTCACTATTTGAAATGGAAGTCTACAGGGAATATCATTTGGCTAGCTGAGGGTCTCCTCACTGTACTCCTCTTCTTACACAGCAGAAGTCAAAGGGCAACTAGACACACGCTGCATTCAGGGCCCTTTCACGGGGTGTCAATCTCACTAACAATGGCTTAAGATTTCACTGTCCAATAATAATTAACCTATTCACTTTGGCCAAATTGAGATATTTATAGAATGCATTCAAGATACAGCATAATGTTCCAGGGCATGTCCTGTAACAGCTTTCTTGTCAGTAATTTTTTGCATATTTATATCGTGATGGAGAACATCAGAAAATAACTTGAGGCAGAAGAGGGATTTGAACCTGTTCATGGATTAGTGGCTGTTTGAAGTGAAATCCCTGATTAATGAGTCATGTGTTTATGCTACATTCCACACTGTCTCCATAAATAACACAGAATTACTGAATTAAAAATGACCTGTATTATTTCAATTTGTTTCTTTTGCTTATATCAATCAGGAAAAATATATTTGTACATTGTGAGTCTGTGTGACAATAAGAGTAGACTTGTCTATCAGAAGAAAATAACCATAAATTTCTTTCTAGCCCAGCATTCAGTTCCCCCTACACACACACACACACACACACACACACACACACACAGAGAGAGAGAGAGAGAGAGAGAGAGAGAGAGAGAGAGAGAAAGAGAGAGAGGTGCATGTGCTGTTTTCAAAGGCAACTGCTTTTCATCTCCACAGAAGCGCAGAGATTTCAAATAAGGAATATATAATGTGACTTCAAAGCACACACAGCAAAACAGTACAGAATGACAGATATAGCCTCATATAAAAAGCATAGGATATAATTTTAAGAACTTGAGAAGAATAAAATCAATTTGATCCCAAAGAGTTGTTTATATCTTAAGCATTTCCTTTCTTGGCACTTGAGTTATATTATATTAATATATTATGTTATATTAACATTCATTAATAAAATTTTGCTCCATAAATAATATCTTAAGAAAAATGATATTTGGCATTTATATAGAAATTTTTGCATGACAGGGCATTTCTATATTATTTATATAAATGATCATATCAACTTTTAAATACTTTTTTAGTTTTTTTATAGGAAAAGAAACAACATGATAATATTTAGCCACATTGTTGCTGAGGTGGTCTATTGTAAGTTTTAAGATTTGCCTTGAGCTTGAGCTAAGACACCATGGGCTCATCTCAGAAACATTAATACTGAATGCATGGGCTGATGCATAAGGAGAAAAAGCCTAGGATAAGAATGCATCTTATTAGACTTCAAAAACAGTGTTAGAGGCTGGAGAGTTGGTTATGCATTTAAAGGCACTTGGGTCAAAGAAATTGGTAACCAACAACCTTCTCTGGCCTCTGCTGGTTCTTTCTGACTTCCCCCCTCTTTCTGTCTCTCTTCTGTCTCTGTCCTTCTTTCTCTCATACACTGATATACACATGTGCACACTCACATATACCAATGTATAAGAACACATATAAAGTCAATACCAAATGATTCCGTGGTGTTACGTTGCCTCCAAATGACCACCTTAAAGCACCGTGGTCACCAGCGGATATGTGGAATACTCATACTGATGATGTGGTTGTTTTATATGGAGCTTGCTGAGGGGAATGACACTAAAGAGAGAGGTCATGTGGACAGTTCTGCTACTAAAGTCTCAGCCTTAATTTCAGCTTCCTGTAAGTAAATAATAAAAGTATTAGAGGGGAAATTAGAATAAAACTAAAGCCAGAATTTTTAGTATCTTTCAGAACCCATAATATGGTAATGTCTCAGAGCAAACTAAAGTAAAAGTCCATGGAGAATCAATGACCAAGGTTTCCTAGTTACTGAATATGTAAAAACTTCTTGGGTTTAGGTGTTGAGGAATAAGTATATTCTGTGATTTTTCTATCAAATGATAGTTATATTTATTTAATTCAATCCTAAAAATGGAATTTAGAAGCTTATATCTAACATTTAGTGGTACCTTTTCCATTTAAGTGTAGGAGCATTTATAGAAGAAGGGAGACAAAGAGTTTGTTGGAATCTTGCTGAGGATTGGTGTTCTAGGCTCCTCCACAGGTTTTATGTTTATTTATTTTGTATCTCTAGGCAATGTTTAACATACAACAGATATTGAGTAGGACTAATAATTCTACTGTGTGATCACAGTACTTATTCAAAGACACACAATCATACTGTTTTTACCACACTGACTTTGTTTAACGCTGTGTTTACATAAAATTATACTTTCTTAAAGTGTTTGGGCTTCTTTGGATCAAGTTAATATATCTTAAATTTATGTGTTCTAGTCAGAAGATTAAACATATTTACATATATGCATAAATACTTACATATTTAATTCTCTGCATTAAATACACATATGTACTGTAGTTATATATTGTAGCTCTCCATAGAGTTACAGGATAGTAAGTACACTCAGAAGTGGAAATATGAGCAGAACCTTTCTTTGGGCAGAGATGGATGGCCTGTGTTAATAAGCAGTTGTGATAGACCCCTGCAAAAACTAAACATTCCTTCCCTTGAGAGAGCAATAGCTGGTAGCAGGGAGAGTGTCTGGGTTAAGAGTGGGCTTCATTTAGTAACTGACACAGGACACACATCCAAAAATCTGTGTGTGAGGTGGCATTGGCATCTTGAAGGAAATGGAAAGTCTGAGAAAAGAAAGATTCAAAGTTTATCTGAAATCCCCAGCAAAGGATCAATGGCTGCTATAATAGGAAATAGAAAAGTGATTGGCTTCAGGAACTTGTTAAGTGACAAGGCTCTTGTTGGGTCCTGGCTGCTTGAGAATGTCATCTATCTTCTGTCCCTCCAGATGAAAGAAATGAAACCACTCCTGGTGCTTGACTTTTCTAAGAGAATCCCTCTCAATTCTGAAGATTTTTCATGAAAAATGACTTGAAAATCAGAATGAAGAAAACATAGTCACAGAAAAAAGTATGAATTATATATGGCAGATATTTTTTCATGCTTGAATAAGTTCATGTTAATTGGATTAGAAAAACTATTAATCAACATAACTATCGATATAGCACTACAATGAGATGTATCATTTGTAGACATTAGTTTTTATATTTGAATATTACTCTATCCTATAAGTAACTGAATGTCACTAAATAGCATCAATTCAAAATAAGGAACAGGAATTATGATACAAATGGAGATGTCTATATCATTGGAAATCCTCTAGTCGCTTATATATGTCAGGTTTTCTCCATCTCACAGAATGACAAAAGAAAATTCTATTTTGGCTTCAGACCAATGTATGGGTTTATATATTTCAGAGGGATGACCACTGTATTATTTGCACTATTCTGTCATTTCAAGTGCATTCTGAATACTTAATGCTGAGAAATATTAACTATGGGATGTATGATTTGAACATTGTCAAAGAGTCTAGATTATTTATATGAGCAAATTTTTTGACTAAATAGGTTAAAGAACTACAAACACTTTGCATGCCATTAATTAAATGTGTCTTGCTATTGAGCTGACACAGCAATGATTGTGAAATAAATATTAATTTCCTCAGATATTAGTAATTCTCATTTTGATGGTATTTCAATGAACAGTATATAACTGATTGGAAAAGCTAAAAACATTCCAAATCCCTTTTATTTGGTTGTGCCTTTGCATTGCTATTAAAACAAATCACAAATCTAAATAAAGAGGAATTGATCAGTTTTAGGTATGGGATGGCATTATAATGAAGACTGGTGTATTCTGTTATAAAATGGTATAATGGCATTGATAGACACTTAGAAAAGTACCTCCTTGATGTACACTATGACAAGAAGCTGCTCATTTTTGTCTTCATCATTCTTTGACCTCAACTGTGGTCTTCACTGAAATCCTTTCTTCATCCTGCCTCTTAAAGGAGTGTCTGAAGCATTCTCAGAGACCTTCCCTGAGTGCCTTTTCTCTTGTAGCTTTCCCTTTTCACGCTGCACCAGATGCTGAGATTTCCTCCCCACCTGATCACTTACGTTCTACAAGGAATTATCTAAAACCACAGCAAAATAAAAAGATAATAAATAACAGCAGCATTAAGGATAACTTAGAATAGGTCAGCAATACTTCTCTGTGATATGTGACTAAATTGTTAGGATATTGTTGTTGTATGTCTACCGGGAGAATGAAGAAGATAAGGCTAAATGTCATACTTTTTCTATATGTGAGTGTGTTTGTCTATACATGCTGGCATGGGGGGCACAAATGTACCATGGTGTATATGTGAAGGACAGACGTCAATGTAGGTGCATCAACTCTCGCCTTTCCAGATTGTTTGTGACAGTGTGTCTTGGCTGTCGTGTAAGCAAGGTCAAGCTAACTGACAAGATCTCTGTCTCACAACTCCTCTGTGGACACATAGAGATTTCAGATGCCTGGGTTACTGTGTCCTGGTTTCACATGGATTCTAGGAATCTGCCTGTCAGAATAGGAACAGTGCTTTGCCACTGATCTGTTCCATCAGAACTCAACAATGTTTCATCTCAGAGGTGAACTATATCAGAATGAGATTTAATATCCACATGGACCACATGAAAAAATTAATATTATCAATTTAACAGATCATCTCAGAGACAACCATGCCTGTGAGGGGTTCCCTAGATCAGGTTTACTGACAGGAGAAAAGCTATTTTAAAAGGTGTTGGTGACATTTGAAATCCTAGAGTGAATAACAGGAGAAAAGCCAGAATAGTACAAGCATTTCTTTTATTGCTCACCCTGTCCTCACAGTGGATTCCATGTGACCAGTCATATCTTCCTGCTCCTTATACAGCAACTTCCTTCCCTGCTTTGAGTGACTGTGCCTGTTAAAACTGTCAGTCAAATAAACCTTTTTTCTCCTTAAGTTGTTTCTGTCAAGAAAACAAAACTAGTAGCCAATATACTGTCTTGCATAGAAAATATCCCCACCCTTCACATTATTTTTTTTCCTAATTTTCTTATGAAAAATTCAGTATTTTGCATTTAGCATACTTTCAAGCCATACTCTCTTTGTGTTCATCTTAAAAGTCTCATTTTTCCACAGTCCCATCCTCCTCACTCTATTCACTATATGAAAACATAAATTCATTTAGCAGAACATATTGTAATTCCAAGATAAGTCATCAATATATGTCCTGTGATGGTTAGTTCTCACTGTCAAATTGAGATTAAGGAATGTCAAGGGCATACCTTTGTGGGTATCTGAGGGGTATTTCCTGTGAGTACCAACTAAGGAAGGAAGATGCATCTGAGTAAGAAGTTGAAGCTAGTTCATCTGGAGACTGGTAGCACCATCTAAATGGAAAGGAGAAATAGAGAAGCCTCCATATCAACATTCATCTCTCTGCTCCCTCACTTACTGTAATGTGAGAAACAACCACATGGTCTTTATTTTATGACTCCCTTGCCTCTCAAACCAAGAGGCAATTGAAATATTCTCTCACTTAAGTTGTTCTATCAGGTGTTTGGTTATGATAGTAAGATAAGTAACCAATACAAGTTTATGAACAACATTGGATCATTCATAACGGGCAAATTTTAAGAAATTTTCTCTTTCCTGAAGAATTTTGTATGCTAAACCATAAAATATTTTATCCATTTTTTAATTTTATAAATCAGCAATGGTAGCTAACTTCTAGACAATAAGATAGAGGTCAGCTGTCATAGTTAGGATTTTTATTGCTGTGAAGAGACACAATGACCATGGCAACTCTTACAAGGAGTTCAGAGCTCTGTATCTGGATTGGGAAGCAATTGGATGAGAATGAGCCACTGGGCCTGGCTTAAGCTACTGAAATCTCAAAGCCAGTCCCCAGTGATACTCTTCCTCTAGTAAGGTCATGTCCACTTCAACAAGGCCAATGATCCTAATCCTTTCAAATAATGTCATTCCCTATGAGCCCATGGGAGCCATTTTCATTCAAACTACCACATTAATTTAGTTACAATCCTTTTACCATTTTTGCATTACAAAGAATGTTGTTTTCAGGGCTGGAAAGAAGGCTTCACAGTTACAATCCATGACTGTTTTATGATAGTACTAGGGTCTGGTTTCCAGCATGTACAACGGTGGCTCTAACTCCAGTTCCAGGTATCAGATGCCGTCTTCTGGTTTCTGTTTACACCAGGCATATGAGTGTCACAAAAGTACCCATACAGGCAAAATACTATCCACAGAGAATGAAAAATTTAAAAAGGATATTATTTTGTGTTTAAAAAAGAAAGAGATAGGAGGGAGTAAGTCAAATGGGACCTGTGAGAATTGTATCATTATATACTCTTCAAATCTGTTATGAATTTTAAAAGACATATATAATAAACAAAGCCAATAAAGGTCATCTAAATTTCAGTAATTTTCTTTTCAAGGCAAGAACTTTATATTTGAAGTTCTGTTTTTAGAGAAGCGGAATCTTGTAGCGAATTTGATGTCCTTGATACTCCTGCATTTAGAGTTATTTTCCTGGCCTCCTGTTCTACTCAGATCTCTTTCATTTTATGTAATATGCTTTATCTTGTCATGAGATCAATAGACTCCTGTAAATTCTTTTGGTTTTATAAATTCTTAATTTATCCTTTCATTGTGGAATATTTTCTTATGGCTTTATTATAATTAATAATTAAGTTTAAAAAGACCCCGTTTTGAGTCTCACATTAAAAATACACTACAGTTAAAAAACATAATAAAATAAACATTAAAATGGAATGAAATATTTAAAAGCTCAGCAAATGTATCAATAAACCAATGGGAAGAAACTTTCTTTGCCAAGGCCCCTGAGAAGAGAAAGCTGTAATCACATCTGGTGGGGCCTTATTTCAAAGGCAGTATCTTTTGCTTAATCACCTCCTGGTCTTGAGCCTTTTACTTTATTATTATTGGTTGATCTGTCATTTTGAAGGATGAGTGGAAAAAAATGAGTGACTTTGAACTATCTGAATGGAGTCCTGGCTCCTCAAACAAAGGAACATTAGTAAATGCACTTAACAATCTTTTAATAGCTGAGTTGGATGACTCTATGTCTGGCTTGATTTGACTAGATCTAATTTATATGATGCCTTCAGCATAATTAACTAGACAGTGTACTTTACTTAATGCCATCATTAGTTGTTGAAGACAGTGGTAACAAGAGTGGTATTTAGATTTTGCATCTCTTGCCATCTAAATTGCCCTTGAGTTTTGTTTTTTTCAAAATGTAAAATGAGAGAATATATTCTCTATAAGTTGATAGTCACAAAGTTTGAACTGGTCTATGAGCTGATAGGCCTCATACTACCTCAAGATCAGTGAAAGGATAAACATCAATAAAGCACAAAATTTCTTAGGTAAGAAACAATGATAGTTTATGTTTTCTCTAAAAGTAATAGATGCTGTATTTTGTGATGAGAATCATAATAAAAGACTGTGTGACTGACTACACAGATGTAAGGATGTCTGTTTATAACTGTGTTCAATGATATTTGTTTTATTTGGAGGAGGGAATTGCCCACAAAGCTGATTCAAGTATCTAGAACCATTCCCTTCAAAATTTCACTTGGTTGCAATTAGACCACTTCTCCACTTCAATATCCAGAGTATAGTCTTATTCTCACATTTATCCCCTAGTTTCCATTTTCACACATCCAGGAATTTTATGTCATCAATACTTTTCCTGTTACCCAGCAATGAGGATATTCAGGAAGTTAGCAATGTTCACTATTTTATTAATAAATAAGCTGGAAATTTTTGATGTATTTATATAAATAATATTAGTAAAAAGTTGGTTAATAATCAATATTATTGGTCATTGTTTCCATTAATAATTGGTACTGATGTTATTATCCTATTCTTTTTTTTGCTGGAAATGTATCAATTGAAACAAGGCCTAATAAAATAAAGGAGTTGCACTGACTGTCAAAGTTAACAGGACACAGAGCAACATATGATCTTGGTTTTAAAAACATCAAAAAATGTGGGAAAATTAGTGGAAAGCTGAGGCTGCCTGTGACAGAGGCATTACACATCAAAGGTGAATGTGGGACTCTAGTTATTCTCAGAAGAACAGAAGTGATAGATGGCTCAAAGCCTCCTGGGACACAGGCAAGGCAAAGGCTGTTTATGCAGCAAAATGGATCATGTTTTTTGCATCAATTCTATGAGTCTATATCTTTTTATTGTGGAATTGAGATCATTGTTATTGAGTAATATCAATGACCAATGTTTACTGATACTTTGCATTTTGTTTTTGGTGTTGGTGGTGACAGATGTGGTGTTGGTGGAGTTGGTGGTTGTGGTGGTGTGTGTGTGTTTATATATGCTTCCCTTCTTTTGATTTTGCTTGTGTAATATTGTTTATTTCCTGTGTTTTTATGGGTGTGGTTAACTTCTTTAGTTTAGGGTTTTCCTTCTAGCAACTTTTGTAGGACTGGAGTTGTAGACAGATATTGCTTAAATTTGATGATTATTATAGTTATCTTAGTTCTTCCATCTATGGTGACTGAAATTTTTCTTGGGTATAGTAATCTGGACTGGCATCTGTGGTCTCTTAGAGTCTGTAGAATATCTGATTAGGCTCATATGATTTAAGAATCTCCATTGAGAAGACAAATTTAAATCTAATAGGCCTGCCTTTATCTGTTACTGGGTCTTCTTTGCTTGCAGTTTTTAACTGTATTTCTTTTTTCTGTATGTCTAGTGCTTTGATTATTAAGTGAAAAAAGGATTTTCTTTACAGGTCTAATATATTTTATATTTTGTATTGTAGTTATTTTTTTCCTCTTAGCTCTTTGAAGGCCCTGCCACCCAGCTCATAAATGAATACACTAAGATGTTTTCTTTCTTATGAATTCCCTGTTCTTAGTTTGGCTTATTTCTAACTATCCTTTCTTAACTTAGAGTATCCCATCTATTTTTAGCGCAGAGCTTTTACCTCTCTTCATTTTTTAATATCTTTTCTTTCCTTCTTATTTAATGTCTATCTCTGTGGCTGGGTGACTGATTTCTGGCATCCACTTCTCCTTCTTTTATTGCTCCCTCCTTTTATCTTGTTCTCCTATTTATTTTCTCTGCTAGACAGCACTGCCATTCCTCTACTGCCTAGCTATTGGCCATCCAGCATTTTATTAAACCAATTGGGTTTTTTAGACTGTAAAAGTAATACAGATTCACAAAGTTGAACAAAAGGAAACATGGAAAAATTAAACACATCTTGCATAATTAAACAAATGTTCCATAGCAAAAATGAATATAATACATAATCAACTAATATTTTACAACATTATATAAATCTTATACATTTACAGGTAATTCATTTATATTAAGAAAATTTTCTGTGATTTATTGAAAATATTTTCTACATCTCTGAGCTGGTATTCTTCTATATCTATTATTCTTAGGTTTGATCTTTTCAGAATGTCCCACAATTCCTAGATGCTTTGTGTTAGGAATTTTTTAGATTTAACATTTTCTTTGACCACCAATGTTTCCATTTCCTTTATCACAACTTCAGTGTGGTGGTAATGATTTTCCTTACATCTTATTGCCAATACATGGACTTTTTCATAAAAATGATTTCATGGAAGCAACTGTAGGAATGTGAGGTCCTTCATCAGCATCCTATTCCTCCTATTATGGGATCAATTCTGTTAGATAAGAGATATATTCTAATCTTGGGCATCTCAGAATGTTTTATTATTTGTAAATGGGGCTGTTGGTGAATTAAAACATTTAGTGAAAGACACATGGAAGTAGAGACTCTAGCAATGTGGTTATTATATAAGAGAAGGAAATAGACAGATGTACAGATGGGGAGGAAGTTTAGTCACAGTGGAGACAGAGTTGAGGAACTAGAATTCATGTAAAAATACCAAGAACTACATGAAAGCCATGAAAAATGAGAAGACATGAAAATATCCGTACCTATTAGTTTTCCAGCCATCCTTGCTGGATTCCTATTTGTAGATTCCTGGCACCCAGAAATAGCAGGTAAGTAGCCTTTTCAAATTCATCATAGTGACACTGGAGACTTTAATGCCATGTAAAACAGATTCTTTCTTAAATACATGCTGTCTACTGCTTACATACACTCATGGATAAAAATGAATTTTGGTTCTCTACAAAGGATCTTAATGTTTTTCTTTAACTGATTTCCTCATTAACCTCCAGATTTTAATAAGCCCTCATGTTAACCTATCAATCATTTTTCATTGCCTAAAACTCCATTGTAATTTTATTTCAGCTATTCAGTGAATCATATTCTTGAAACATCCAGCCTTTTTCTAACAAAAATAATAGAATTTGCATAAAGTTCGAAAGGGTGGGAGGTTCTGGTATATTTATTATGAAAAGATCTGTTTTATATGTTGAGGGGAAATATCTCCCAGCTACTGCAGATGAGAAGTGAACTTATTCAGTGAGTTATAGTTTAGATTAACTTGTTATTTACTTTTGAAGCTTTCAGTTTTTTTTCAGCTGAGATGTTTAAAAATGAATTTTAAAAACAAACTGTCAACTTATTCATTTCCATTGATTTATAGTCATGCTTAGGGAACTGAGAAACTTGATTAAAATAACTCGCTGTTGTGTTTGTCATCCTGAGCTATAAATTTTGTAGGAGTTTAATACTTCCATTTGCTTTAATATAAAGCAAGCCTTCCATTTGCTTTAATTCACAAGTGGAGATGGGAAGAAGGCATAGTTACCCTGTATATACTTGATCAATTCCACTGGATCAAACTGTGAGCTTCAGGAAGGATGCTGGTCCCAAGTGCCTTCTGCCCCAGGTGTCTTTCTCACTGGAAAGAGCCTCTAAGTCCCTCTTTAAGCAATATCATTGTCCTTTCATTCCTTGGGTGACAAAGACTCCATCTTGTTTCTCTAAGCATTTTTTTTTCCAGCCATCAACTCTAAATTGGACTCTGTATCTTTTCTTTTGGAATGCGGTTTTCAGATATGGGTGTGGTGGTGCAGGTTTATAATCACGGCAACAAAAGCACCTCATTCAGGACAATCACGAACTGAAGGTCAGCTTGTGCTTTGTAGTTAAAGCCAGCCTAAGCTATATGGAAGGAAAAAAAAAAACTGTTTTAAAAAAGTAAAGAACAACAACAACAACAACAAAAAAAAAACAGTGAATCAGAATCACACTATTAGCAACTACACTTATAAGACAATTAACTCCACTTATTAGCAACTACCTTTATAAACAATTGACTCTCCAACCACTGTTTCTGATGACACTTCTTGGTCCCGGCTCTAGCACTCAGCCACCTGTTCTCTCCCAACAGGAATATTGTGGAAATAATGGAGCTCAAGGCCAGCCTCCCTCTCCCTCTGAGTAGTCGCACATCCATTTATATTCATTGTGCCTTTTTGCTATATTCATGTTCACTTTGACATTAAACCAATTTTCTATGAGACACATTTTCCACAGTTGCAATGACTTTCTTTCTTTTTATGGAATTATTTATTTTGTCACTTTAGGGTAAAGGAACTCTATCTTTTCTTAAAGGTATAATTTTTTTTTTCTTGTGAACAACTAAATTGGCATTTCGAAAGCTGATTTTCCACAAAAAAATTTCACAGTCTAGCTAAATCATAAGTAAAGACACTTATGAGTGATTCCAGGATGTTCACAAACAAAGGGATTAAGAAGTAAGCTTTTTTCAGGATATAGCCCCCGAGAGACTTCCCAAAGCCCAGTCCTTTGCCCATGCCCACAATGGCAGTACTAAGTAGACACAATGGATTAAAAAAAAAGCATAAATTTTGGAGGGAGAAGAGGTATGGGGTATAGAAGGAATTGAAGGGGAAGGAATAGGATGTGGACATGAGCAAAACCCATTTATATACATGTGTGACATTCTCAATTTAAAAAGAACATTGCAAAGTGGCCGATGATACAAGAGTTCTTGTCTCTGGAGAAGACACATCAGCAAGCATAAAGATTTCCACACCCAAGTAGACTCAGAATAATATCTTCAGTCCCTATGCAGGAGAACTTTCTTATCAGTCCCTTGTACTGTGTTCCACTGCGTGTAGAAGAGCCATTTGTCCCATACTAGGTTATACTATTGACACTGAAGGCTGGAGCACCAGTGAGAGCTCTTACATTAGCTGCTGACTTTGTAGTCCCTAATGAACTATCTGTCATTGATCCACAGGCAATATGAACTATAAACATACCTACTTATATGTAAACATCATGAATATGGTCACATGTGAATATTTAAACATGCAGCCGCATCTTTGAACATACACATTTTCAAATATATAAAGTACACGTTATTTCCAGGGATAAGCTTGGTAGTCCATATGGAAGTTAAAAACTCTAAATACTCCTTATTTAACATTTTTGATTTACCCTATCTCTATTATATGTCCCTAATTGTGATACAGGTTTAATACTGTTTGAAGAAAAATGTTAATATACGATATAGATATCAAATAAACATTCAATTATAATGAATAGGTCACTAATATCATGTTTTTTAAACCTTTTTATTTTTGTTTTATGTATATGAATATTGTACCTGTATGTACATATATGCATCATATGCATGCCACATAGTTGCAGAGGCCAGGAGAAGGCATAAGACACATTGGAACTAGAGTTCCAGGTCATTGTAAGCCACTCTCTGGGTGCTGGTAACAAGGTTCACTGTAAGTCGAGCAGGTACTCTTAGCTACTTGGCCATCACCTTTCAATAGCATCATTTTTGGGGTGTGAGAAATAATGTGGTTATGTCACATGCTGTCCTAGTTCTTAAATAATAGGCCCTGCAGACTCAAAGTCTGCCCTCAAACGTAGGAAAACATCAGATCTGGAATCACAAAAAAATTTATAACATCAGAGAAAGAAGCTTTCTGAAGTAGCTCTGCTCACTAGGAGAAACTCTATGTGGATAATACAGAAGTCACCAGGGGTCACTAAGTAAACTTTTTCATGAGACATACCTAAGTTTACTAGACTTTCCTAATTAAGAGTGAATACTATTGACCAAGTCTTAGTAGTGTTTCAAATTTGGTGAATTAAGAGGATAATGAGACATTCTAGTTTTATTTCCATTATTGCATTAAAACACTCCAATTAAAAGTTTTGGGACTAAAGAATTTATTTGCTTTATACTTCTAAATAATAGTCAATAATTATGGAGTGTAAAGGCAAGAAAGAACTCAAGCAGAAGCTCAGGTTAGAGATCATGGAGGAATTGTACTTGCTGGTTTACTCAGTGGTTTCAGGCTAAGCTGGTTTTCTTATTCAACCCAGACCCACAGGTTTAGGAGTAGTTCAACTTAATCTGGATTGGGCCCTTCTCCATCAATTAACAAACAAGTCAATTACCCATAGACATGTCTATATATCGATGTCAGCCAGTGGTTCTCAACCTGTGAGTTACAACCCCTGTGGGCACTTAATGAACCTTTCACAAGGGTTGCCTAAGACTGTCAGAAAACACAGATATTTATATTATCATTTATAACAGTAGAAAAATTGCAATTATAAAGTAACAATAAAATAATTTTATGGTTGATGGTCACCACAAAATGAGGAACTGTCTTAAAGTGTCACATCATTAGGAAAGTTGAGAACCACTGCTCTGGGCAATTCCTTAAGAGACTTCTTCCCAGATGAATCTAGGTTGTGTCAAGTTGATAAATCTAGCTAGCACACAATTTAGAATTGAGGATATATAAATCTGGCATGTTTAAGATTGATGAACGAAGAAGGAAGAAAGCCTGGGCACTATTTCTGCTGAAGAAGCTGCCTGTCTTTAGAACTGTGTAATACTGCTTTACATTCTTCTCTTTCAAGTAGGCATTTACTGGAGAAGTAGGAACCGTGTTTTCCTTACATATAGGAATAACCCTCCTATGGAGAAGTAGATAAGTTTCAGGTCTTATCTTGCACATTTTAGGAAATTTTAATTATGCAAGCATACAAGCAGGAAAATTTCTTTTATTTTCAGATACTAATTCAGCCATTAGGGTCTAAATACAGAATAAGTGGAAAGGTTGCCTAAAATAGACTGGAGGAGGCAATGAAGTGGCTCAACTGGTAAATATTAACCACACCAACCTGATGATCTGAACTTAGAAATGCAAAGGAGGAGAAGCGAGTTTCAAAAGTTATTCTCTGACTTCAACACACATAACATGTTATATGCATAACTCAACACACACCCATACATGCTCGTATAACAACAACAAAGTTAATAATATCATTAACAAATTTAAAAATGCAAGTCAATAGTCTCACCAGAGTTAGATCATGCATGCTAAATACTGACTTTCCAAATGAGGAAGAACACCACAAAGTTTAAGAAAATCTATGCCAGTTATATATCTGATAGAAAATTAATGCCAGGCCGGGTGGTGGTGGTGCATGCCTTTAATCCCAGCACTCAGGAGGCAGAGGCAGGTGGATCTCTGTGAGTTTGAGGCCAGCCTGGTCTACAGAGCTAGTTCTAGGGCTTACTTTAAAGTTCCAGAGAAACCCTGCCTTGAAAAACCATAAATAAATATAAATAACACCAGACTATCAAAAGAAATAAAGAAAAACAGTCAAGAAAACAAATTACCCAATTTAAAAATAATTTATGCATATGAACACACAAAAAAGTAAAAGTGGTTATTAAATACTTAAATGGTATTTTTAAAAACTTAGAAACTAGTGAAATGTAAAATAAAACTACGCTTAGAATTCATCTCATCCCAGTCTGAAGAGCTAAGATGAAGAAAACAGCAGACAATAAAGGCTGGTGAGAATCTGGGCAGAGCAGAACCCTCATTCCTCATTTGTCATTCTCTGTTGGTGGAACGCAAATCTGTGCAACCACTATTGAAATCAATTTGGAAAGGTCTCAGAAATCAAAAAGTAGATCTATCATTTATCCTACCTGTACCACTCCTCTAAATACATGCAAGGGACATCCTGTTTGACAGGTACCTTTTTAAATCTATACTATTCACAATAGCTAGGAAGTGAAACCAACCCAACTTCCTTTCAACAGAAGAATAGATGATGAAAATATGGTACCTGTACACTATTTAATGCTATTAAGCTGCACTGGAAAATGAAATTTGCAGCTAGTCAATGGAACTAAATATAATACTAAATATATGTATTATATTTAAATATATTATACTTAGTGAAATATCCCAGATGTAGAAAGTTAAGTGTTGCTCTTCTCCCTGATTTGTGGACTCTAGCTAGTTTTAAATCATTGAATATGAGTATATAACATGGAGTAAGTACAGAATCAAGGAAAATTAAAAAGGACCCTCATCTTGGGCACGGAGAAGGATCTCTAGAGGTCCGTATTTTCTCTCTACTCACTCTTTCTTGATGTTCCATTGAGACTTACTTTTAAGATTATATGGTATATACACTTACTGGGGATTGATATCCATGACATCACTTATTCTCTGCTGTTCTTTATATGATTAAATGTATATATTTCTAGTCAGTTTAAAATATGAAAATACAAGACCAGATCATCTAATTTTATAAAGACAAAGGTTTGCTTAGTTAACAATTCAGAAATTCCAATTAAAAAATCAGCCTAGTCTCTCTGGACTCTTCTGAGAGTGGTTGATAGTGGCACAGTGTGGCAGGAGGACATGACTCTGGAAGGATCTATATCAGCCAAACATGAAGTCATTCTGGGAGCGCTTGCATCCAACAGTCCAGTTAACAGACCAATCATCAGAGACCAAGAATTTACCATCTATGTCTACTCCCTCAAGTTCTGTTTACCTCCTTGTAGTCCTTCTATGGGAGGCAAGATTTAATCACAGTGGGTTTCAGAGAGAATGGAGAGGCAAGACAAGTAGAAAGGGAATGAAAGGGGCCATATGAGGCCACTGGCTTCCTGGGTTCCATCTAGAAAGTACACATATATGTGCCAGGTTCCTAAGGCATAAATGTCATGGCCAGTAACAGCCTTCCTGACAGACACAGCAGGTGCCTCCTTTTGAGACATATGAGAACCAGGATGGTGACATACTGCAACACAAGCCTCGCATTCAATGGCCATTAATTTCCTTTACAAATGG